TCCTGGTGACCATGACACACCTCGTAGACTTCAACCACTTCCCTCGTGGCTTACATCCTATACGACACAGCATTCTGCTACCTTCGTAATGATACATATGCTGTCTGGAAGCACTAACCCTCGTCGTAGAATACGTTCCATGCCTGGACGGCAGCACGAATGCCACACGAGAGGCGGCATGCTGCAGCACGAGCTCCTGCCTTGGCGCAAACTTCACTGCATCCTCGACTGACGGACATCTCGACCAGCGCTCGTCAGAGGTCTTCAGCAGCTGATCTTCACCTGTCAAAGTGCACTCGCCTGCACACGTCTTCGATAGCTCGACTGAAGCGTTGGGAGCGGGACCGCCGTCTGCAGCCGCAAGAGGAAAGATTTCGCGCGTAAGATGAAGGACAGCTGACTCGCTGTTGCGCCTCGAGGTTCGCAATGCTCCGAACGCTTTAAAGAAGCAACGGTATCATCTATTCGTAGCTCAAGTCTGCTCTCCTCAAAGACTGTGCAGCTCGGATTGGAAAGGCTTTCCCGAGCTGTGAAGCAGGCCCACTGTCGCATGGTTCGAGCGGGTGCAGCACCACGCATGCAGCGCGCTTTGCGCGGTGTCGGAGCTTCAATGGACTTCAAATGCGGATGGCATGACCACCAATACGATCGATCCCGCACATCAAAAGGAAGCCTTGAGGTCGACCTCATGAGGTCAAAAGAAGAATGAGAATTGGGAAGTCATCTGTCCGAGTCGATGCCTGATACAAAAAAAATTCGAGTCAGTGCGCTCCAACGTCCCATCTCTGCGCCCAGATTGGATCTTCGACCTGTCATCTCCGCCCACTATGGCCACCGTGATTTTCTTTACCCCGGAACCGAAGGCGTTCCATCGCTAGCTAGGCGAGGAGTCGGCCGACGATGTGGCCTGATCAGCGAGGGATCTCCCCACCTAAGCGTAGAGATTAGATCATGCTGACGCGCACCAACTCGGCCAACTTTCAGTATGCAATATCTGGGTCATGTGCGCTACATCAGTCCTTCGCAACTACATTGCGGTCTATGTGACGCATCAGCAGTATCATTGCTCTATACGACGCATCATTCGTATCGCTCGACCATCTCAAAAGATGTTAGTCACAGTGAGACTCATTGCGCAGTACTTCACGATCACGATGCGACTTAAAGGGCGGATCATCTGACTCGAGCAATACATCCACCCTCACCGATGCTGATGATGTCAGCATATATCGATAATTCCAAGAGATGGCAGTCACAGTCGGGCTCATTGCACCGTTTTTCGCAAGCACGGAATGGCAGTCACGGTCGGGCTTATTGCACAGTCCTTCGCGATCGGGATGCGGTCTGAATGGCAGATTACCAGTGTCACTCGACACTCTCAAGGGGTGGCGCAGTCGCAGTCGTGATCATTGCACAGTCGGAATGAACTACTCGGTTGAGGGAGAGGTGACTTGGGCTGGGGGAAGGGGAAAATACTTGAAGTGGGCGGGGGGAAGGTGAGGAAAGGTGACGTGGGATTGGGAGAGGAATTACCTCGTTGGGGCAGAGGTGACGTGGGCAATTGACGTGGGTGGGGGGAGGGGAGAAAATGAAAAATTGATGTGGGCGTAGGGAAGGGGAGAAAAGGTGACAAAGGATGGGAAGTGGGGTTCGGATGGAATATGTTGTGCGCGCGTCCTGGCCCCGTCGCACCTGTACCGTACCCCTTGACTACGAATGCCGGCAATCCCTCCCCGCCCGCTGACTGCGACCGTTGTCGACGTGCTGATGATAGACCATCATTACTCGTCCGTACGACGCTTTCCCGTCAATTTGCGCCAAACCGCTCCATCTAGCATCGGCGACTTTGAGGCCTGACGCTTGTGGCTGGCATCGTACACATTGGTGGCCTCTTCCTCCTGACCCTTGACTTGCCCGTCGCTGCGCTTTTTTCCGAAAAGCTTCGAGCCTGATTTCTTGCGATTTGCAAAGAAATCCTTTGCGCTCCCGCCCGCTCTGATCGAGTCAAATTCGGTTGCCAGGGCGCTTGCTGACTTTCTGCGCTGAATCTCTTCCAGTGAAGGGCCTCTGGAAGGCGCAGAGTCCTGTTGCCTAGATGGTCCAGCAACATCAGACAGGCCAAGACCTAGGGTGGCAGGTGTCTTGTTGTGCGACGCAGACTTGTCCAGCCACTCCTTGTAAGACTTGATCCACTTTGCCTGAGAGTGCGCACGTGCGGCGTCTGTCAGCCAAAGTGAAGATAGTTGATGGAGAAGCATTGGTTTATCGGACCTCAGATACTGTCGCAGCGCGCGCGCGCGCCCCTCTTCAGTCTTCAATGGTGAGTGTACGTGTCACCTCCCCCTTTTGAATACCATGACCTTCCCCTCGACTGACTGACAGATACTCACAGATGTGATTTGCGTCCACAGATTGAACCTGTCTGTATCGGACTCCCAGTCAGAGGTCTCAGGGATGAAAGGGAAACCATCCATAGTTGCACGGGCCTCGACACCCTCGAGCTGCATGGAGACAGGAGAACATGGCCAAAGATTTGGTCAGCGTGTATGATTGGACAGTGTGTCATACATCGCATACGCGATGCACACTCGCCATCGCGATGCTCACTCACCATTTTCCCAAGCTGCATGCTTTCAAGCATCTTGTAAGTGCGCTCTGTCTGGAGACCATTGCGGCGAAAGATCTCCTGGAGTCGCTCTACATCACCTGCAATCGAGACCTGGTGCTCCAAGGGGAGCTGCTCAACCTTCAGAAGAAGAGCCCGAACAAGCTCTGCCATCTCAGTCTTGGAGTGTTGATGGTCTTGAGCCCTGTGGGATAGGATCTCGAATCTTGACATGACGACAGGACGTCTGCATATTGCGAAGGGAACACAAGGCGAGGTGCTGGCTTGCTGACTGGGATGACGGAGTGTACTGAAAGTCGAACGAGTAGGGCTTTGTAGGTTCGGCAGCTAGTGCGATGTTGTGGTTTGAAGTCACGATGCTCACATCGCCGACGTGGCGCTCTTGATTCCTGGCATAGCGCCTGCTCAGTAGTCGTGAATCCGAAAGCAGTCTTGGGTCACAAGTCGTCAGTCAGCGTGGCATTTGAAGTGCATGCACAACGGGCAAGCGCAAGCAGGCCACGCACGCGCCACGCTCCCTCCGACGTGCCCCCAAGCTTGGCGGATATGTTAGTCAATTAACACGCGGCATTCGCGATTCATTCGAAATTGTGATTGATTTGATTGTGGTTGTCATCAGCCGCCATTTCAATTTAAGTGCAATTCAGTATCTACGTGCAGCGGAGCAGTCTTCTCGAGCGGCGTCCTATTAGTCTTCTCGAGCGGCGTCTTATGGCTGACATTCAATTCACGTGGTTCTCAGATCGCGATTCACAAGGTCGAGGCTTAAAATTCGCGCCGCGCATCAATTCTCAAGACATGATCCTTGTTTGTCGGATATCTGAATCAAATTCTTGATTGACAAATCACGAATCGCTCAAAGCTGGCTTGCTTAATCAAGAGCGTGGCTGACTCGGACTGGTGGGTGCGAACAAGAAGATGAGAAGACCTCGGTCCACAAGCGGGAGAGCGCACTATGATGGCGTGCTTGAAATCGAGCCCAAACTCGCTATAAGGCTCAAGCACGATACAACAGCGGTTTTCGGCAATCCCACATCGTGAGTGTACGAGTGTAGCCCGTTTGATCTCTTACTCGCATCGCATAGTTTCTACACCCATTCCTGTTGTAAATCTTCTGTACCGTGCAAATCGCAGCGTTACAGACCATTCACGCAAACATTTTCTATACGGTCACCGCTTGCGATTTCGATTTCGTCTGTACAAACTTGGGAGCGAAGCTCTCGGAAAGTTGCGAGCTGTGAACGGAACTAGTGGTGGTTGGAACTTTTCGCTGGAACGGGTGGGGAGGAATGGATCGGCAATGTGCGCTCCGACTTCCGAATCAGCCTGCATGCATGCGCGCAAGATGACAGTGAGCATTCACATTCAATCGACTGTGGATGAGCGCAGCGAGCTTTGACTCACCTTGAGCTTTGCCCGAGCCGCCCTTCTTGGACGTCGACGGACCTGCAAGTGTTTGGGCACCGTCAGCGAACGAAGGGGCGCAAAGAGTTGTCCTCGCATGCATGTACCGATGCGTGTGCGCAACAACCGCAACTCACCAGATCCAGACCCCTGATTGGACGTCGTCGGACCTGCAAGGGCTTGAACACCGTCAGCAAAGAGTCGACTGTGGATGAGCGCAGCGAGCTTTGACTCACCTGGAGCTTGGCCCCAGCGGGCCTTCTTCGCTTAAGACGTCGTCGGACCTGCGAGTATTTGGACACTGTCAGCGAAGAGCGTGTACCGATATTCTGGCAAACCATTCCTGATCGTCGACTGCGCAACAGCAACTCACCAGATTCAGGGTCGGCAAAGGAGCTGGCTGACGACCACGATGAGCTGAGATCAGGCGCCTTGTCGCGATTGAGACGAGCGAAAGGCAACGGATTGCCATGCTTGTCGCATCCGTCGTCGTAGTCGCCGTCATCGTTGTGGTCTTCGAAAGCCTTCTTGGGGAGCTTCGTAATGCCGACTGCCTTAATGTGTGCATTGAAGGACTGTGTTCTCTTATCGAGTCAGCGCTTGGTACGACGTCACTGCATGGGGCACATTTGCTCGCTCGCTCGCTCGCTC